CTAAAGTGTGCGTGTGTTCCGTGGAAAACTATGTAGACAAAGTCCCTTGTCATACAACGACAAGAAAATGACAATTAGACCTCTTATTTTCAGGATAAATAGTTCACAATCTAAACATCATGTTCTTGAAAATATTTTCTACATTACTTAATAACAGGGCTTGTTATCATTGTCTCAATCTTGCAAATGACTTTGCAAAGAAAAACCTATTGCAATCAGACAGAGGCTCATTCATTCCCATGCACCGAGTCCAAGAGCCCATTCCACGAGGCTCTTTGCGAGCTTAAGACCACAGAGACCCACAACTGCTTAATATTATTCCTCATCATATCATGAACTACGAAAACTGAAGAAACACATAAAATTCACTTGATTGTTAAAACTTTTGCTCTTCCTTTGCTTTCCTTTTTTTCAATCCTTTTCCATTTCAACCCAGAAGTCTAGGCAGTCTCTTTTGGCTAATGCTCAGCTTTGCCCTCCTGTTCTGTGCTACTGCCTTGTGGCTTGTGGCTCCTGGGGGAGATGTGTGTTTGTTTAAAGACAACTTCTATTTAAGAAAAAAAAAAAAAAAAAAAGGGTGAGGCTAATTCTAGATGTCCTAAATTTTCTCAAAATACAGTGTCATTTCAAAATCCACATTCTCAATTACATCTGAGTTGACAGTGTCCCTTTTTCAGCAAAAACATCTCTTTGTAGCAATACTAATTTCTTTCCACATGCCATTTTTGCCTGAGCCCGGTTTTGACTCAAAACAATACTGAAAGATAATGGTTATGTAAAAACCCGCAAAAATGTGTTAATAATAAATAAGCCAAAAGGCATATAAAACAAAAAGCCAAACATTGGATACAAGAGATAGAAATCACATTTTTTCCATAAAATATAATTTCAGTGCAAAAGCCTCTGTTTATAGGCATGCCAGTCTGAAAAATAAACCCAGTTCCGACTAAACACAGAGCATATTTTCACATGAGGTTGTGAAAAACACATCTGATGTGTTTCTGATGGAGAAGCATCCTATCTGCTCTGTGAGGGACTCGGGGATAAGCAGTTTGTGTTCCTCCTTCCACAGAGAGCACAGCTAAACAGAGAGGAGAGCAAAGAGTTAAAGCCTCCCCTCTGCAGAGACCTTCCTCAGGTGCTGGTAGAGGCTCTGCTTCCTCATGCATGGGGTGAAGTGAATTCACAATGCCTGATTCACAGCGCAGCGTGGATCTAAAGAACAGGGGTCAGACAGGTTGAGTTTCCAGCCATTTGCACAGGCCAGTGTGTTGGGGCTCACACGGACCAGAGTCCTCAAAGGCCTTTGTGTTTGGGGGACACTGATAACGCACTGGGAGGGAGGGCTCTGCAGTTTCAAGGCTACATTTCCATTCAGCTTCTCCTGCAAACACAGTATGACTTTGCCCAGGACTTGAGAACGACACAATCATCTATTCAGTTTCTGTTAAAAGCAGCTTCCTCCAAAGCGAAGCCTCCCACAGGACAAGCACGTCTGTGCTGAGCCCTTGCGAGGCCAAAAACTCCCCTGTCACCGAGCGTGGCACCCTGCTACACAAGGTGACCTCGGGGCCCTGGTGTGCAGCCTCCCACCCGAGAACAGGCGGCAGGTCTGGAATGGCAGAGGGGCATTTGTGTGTCCTGCTGGATAACCACCGTTGTTAACCAGAGAACGCAACATTTGCAAGGGGAAAGAATAACGAAAAGCACCATGTGAAAATACTTGCAAGCCATTTGCAAATTACAGGAGAAAACTATGCAAGTCAGATGGTCAGTATTGAACAGTCCCAGGATACTCATTACTAGATGTGAAATCATCTCACTTGAAAACTATCCAGCTTCTATTGTCTTGTTTTATTCCTCAGATCAAAACTAGTCCTGAATTCTTCCACGGAGCCATGCAAACATTTATTTTCTTGACAGTGAGCAAGGATTCACCCATCTAATATTCACTTGTATTTAATCTAAACCCTGCCACTGGATTTATCTTAAACCAACAAAACTATTAGCAGAGCATGAACCAAAATGCATTTGTATTCTCTCAAGCAGTCTTAGGTAATCTTGGTAATCTTGCCATTTATTATTTGTAAAATATCATAATATAACTTGGGGATTTTCAATAAATGAAAGTTGATTGCTCTTTGCCTGACAAGCTTCCAGCCTAAAATCCTGGTTCTACAGCTCTCCAAAAAGGTGACACACACTGTTAAGAGCTTGTAGAACCAGATCCTAAATTACACATCTCAGAGGTCACCGATTAGAGCAACAACAGGCTATGGCTAAGCTGATTATCATAGAAATAATTAAAAAGATATGTTTATTTGTTTAATTTTAGTATATTAAACTGCAGAGACAGGGTCTAAACAAATTGAAAAGAAATATGCAGGACAACTACAAAGCTGAGCAAACCTATTACAATTCTAAAGGTTATTATTTTATACTACTGAATCTGAGTTTTCATTAAAAACAAACATGGAGGAACAATCTGCAATATTTAATCTGAAGCATCCAGATAAAACGGAATATTCATGGCTTAATTACCTAGTAAGAGGAATAAATACTGCCATTCATGACCAGAGTATCTGAAGTCTCTGTCAAAGAAGTTTATATTCCTTTAAAAATCAGTGCCTTGACACCCTTAAGGGAACATCATACTGCACTGAAGGTTTCTGCAGCTTCTTAAAGAAGGTGCAATCTTGGATTCCTCTAATCTTTAACATTTGCTCCACCATCAGATTGTTTGCCATTTTTGAACACAGGACCTCTAGTTTGCCTGATAAGGTTATGGAGCTCAACTATCTCCAGTGAAATGTTGTAACATAGCTCTGTTATTAAATAAAAAAGTAGACAGAGGACAAATGTAATCGTTAAGAAGACTGAGCAGGCTAATTTCCTGAAGTTGATTTCCTTTTTGTAACAAATATTTATTGTCAAATGTTTATTACTTTTGCATTTGGATTTTTTTAATACTTTATTGAATTAAAAATACCACATTACCATTGGCTAGAAGAGGAGACAGCTCTATCTGCCAATAATTTCTACAGTTAATGCCAATGACTTGTGCCAATTTTTTTTTTTGGTTCATATTTTTGTAGACAGCTTTGAGACTTACAATACAAGCATTCTGCAGATGAGGCACAAGAAATACAAAGGTGAAAAGAACCAAAACTTCAAAGGTTGAAAAATCAAAGCTTATCATTTTCTGTAAAAAAAAAATTACTTTCATTGCCTTCAACCTCCATTTCAGAGTAGCATAACTGGAGACTGGAGATATTAACCTAGATCAATGGCATGTGACATTACTGATATACAGACTTCACGATGTGACTATTAACTCTTAAGCAGACTTAAGTAAGTGCTGGCAAATTGCTTTTAGTCTGTTGAAGTCTACAAAGCTTCTCAATAGAAAGGATTCTAAAGACCTTCCAAAATATCTTTTCCTTTGGGAAATACTGAGGGAGTGATGGAGGGAAAGAACAGTTTCCCTTGAAGATGTCAAAGAAGAATGGTGAAAACTTTTGGGAGGCCCAGACACCTGCTATCTGTATCTAACACAAGAGAACAGTGCCTGTTGCTTTGGTATCCTGGCAGGCAACTGCTCTCTGAAGCAACCCCGGACTGTACTACTGGACATGCCATTTCTGCATGAGAAATGCTGACCACCTACCCGTGAGCTGACATCCTCACTAGGCACTGGCCTATCCAGGAATGGAAAGTTCTTTATTCCAACAGGAAAATGCAGTATCTATTCCAAAGCTGGGTAAGCAGGATGACACCTGCACAGACGAAAGAGCCTGAACCTTCCTGGGTAGACCCTGGGTTCTTTACAGACCTGTATTCTAACACTCTGTAACACCTGGTCATCTGCATTTTCTTCATGGGTCTGGAAAATACATTCTTTTCTTCTTGTTTTCATGTTTTACTTCGTTAGCTTCCAAATCCAAACTAAATAAAACAGCAATGTGAAATTAAGAGCATGTTCCCAGGATTGCATGTGTTCAACAGTTTTAGTCATTTGGCACTTAGAAGCCTCAGCTATCAGTGATTAGTATTTTGTTTTAACAGATTGAATATCCCAAGATTCCTTAGAATGGAACTAAGGTTCAAACTGCAAAATAGAAATGCTTATTTAAGGACTGCCAGCTCTGCCTGGTCTATCAAGGACAGAGTACCACCAACTGGCGCTGGCAGCAAGACACAGCACTTCCTATCTTTCTTCTGGATAACTCCCAGTGCTCAGTGAAAGCGAGCCTTTCCAATAGAAATGCTTATTTAAGGACTGCCAACAACCTGACTATTCTCTGCCTGGTCTATTGAGGACAGAGTACCACCAATTGGTGGCACTTCATATCTTTCTTCTGGATAACTCCCAGTGGTCAGTGGAAGTGAGCCTTTCTCCAATCCCTATTTAAAGCATGACACAGACAAGCTCTGGTCAGAATACAATGATATCTAATTATGCATTAGATTTTAGAAAGCATTTAGGTATCAAAATTTCAGAAGACAAGTTGAACAGCCTAGTCTCAAATGCTACCTAATTATAGAGACACTAAAAATGAGAGTTTACATTTGCCAAAGTACGTGGTACAAGTGGTTAGCACCCAACCTATTGACTAATCATCACATTACTCGGAAGACACACAGGAAGGGACTCAATTCTGCACAAATCTCCAAGTGGCCCAATTAAGGAAAGAGTCATTAGTATTCCCTTGGCAAAGCGTTCAGGTCATCTCCTAACAAGCCTGTAACATCCTGGAAGTGCTGTCTGCTGAGAAGTGCAGACAGTCATTTAGCTGAGTGTGACTCAGGAGCAGGAATATGTGCTGCTGACGTGAAGGTCAGTGGGAGTGACCTACTGAGTTCACAGCAGCAGTACTAACCAGGTAGAAAATCCTCCTACCTAGTTTTGAGGAAGGTACAAACCCCTTCTCTTCCCAAACACTTGACAGCTTTACTTTCACCTCCTAGCTCATTCCCAGGTGCCCCCCATGCGTTCCTACCTCCATATTCTTGCAGAACGTAGCGTTGGTCCCGAAGAGGATCTGGCACTGTTCATCCGCACTGTAGTGCATTCCCGGCAGCTTGTGAGGGAGCCGCACCGCGTACTGGCTCCGCGGGTCTGTTACCAGCAAACACGTGCTGACCTTGGACCTGCAGAGGGCAAGAATTAAACGTGCCTTTAAGGGAAAGCACCTTTGAACTGGAGTGTTAGATCACTGCTGTAGAGAAGCTGACACTGCGTAAAACCGGTGATTTTCACAGTACCTTTCTGCGACCCCTCTGAACTGCTGAAAGTTATGGATAGAAAGGTCCTTGGGAACTCACCCCTCCACCATCATCCCAGGCCCCAAGGCAGAATCAACTACATTCACATCACTCTGGGTAAACATTTGTGTAACCTACTCCTAAAAATCTGATGGAGACTCTATTTTGCCCCCAAGCAATCTATCCCAATTTCTTCACCAGCTTTACAATAGCTAGAAAGCCTTCTCTCATGTCTCATCTCAATCCTCCTGGCTGAATTTTAAGCCCTTAGTTTCTTTTCTTATCCATTACAGACACAAAGGAAAGATTTTTCTTACGTCTTTACAACAACCTTTTACAAACTGCAGCATCGCTGTGACATCTCCCCTCTGTCACACTGGGATCAGAATGAGTTCAGACACAACTTCTATTTCAACTTTGTGCCAGTACTGTTATGTTAATTCCCCATTTTCTTCCCTATTTTCCTTCCATCATTCCCCACCTCTAATCTCCACTGCTGGAAATGCTGAACCCATTTCTAGCAACAGAAGCACTGGTAACTGTGCCAGACAGTCAGAATTGCTCTGTAGGTCTAAGACCACAAATACAGAGTTCAGACAATTCTAGTGCTTGCTAAAGCACCTGAGCATAAATAACCAGTGGGACTGAAATCCTTCTTGAATTGTTGAAGGGCATGAACTGAAATATGGATGCAGTGGGAATACAGTTTGTAGAATTGTTTAAGACCAGCACTGAGGAGTGAGAAACACATGGAATTAACTCCCAGCAAAATAAAGTTTATATAAAATAAAACATATTGCTATAGCATAGCACAAAGGTAGCATCATCTTACAATGGAGATGATTTTTAAAGGCTCCTACACACGGACTCCTGTCACTGCAAACAGGGAGAATATTTATTTGCAAAATGAAGGTGCAGAGGGATTGTTTTTAAGAAGCTATCAGTATCTTGACAGCTACACGTTAATTCTTCCGCCCCTCTACAAACCTCAGTTTCAAAGGGGCTGCTGTAAAGTAGACAGATTCAGGCTTGCACATCCTAATGACACATGCGCACACAGGGTTTTCTTAGCCAAATTACTTAGACTTTCACTTGCAAATAGCATCTAAGATTCTTGCCTGGGTTTTTTGGTACTCAGCACAATCCTTACTTTAGGAAGTTTTCAAGGTCATCTCGGCTGCATGAAGACCAGGAAAGGTCACTGGGGTTCCTGCCCTTCACCCATTCTCCAGACATAATATGAGACCTCCCCGCGCAGGATAGATGATCATCATCATGGCTCATTCCCATGCTGTTTGATTAAAATAAAATAAGACAAGACAAGTCATCATGTGGGTTTCTCGTTTCCTTTGCATTTAGCAATGACATTCACATCTCAGCAGTTAACAAAATAGGCTGCACAGATAATACAGAATCATTCACTTGCTGCTCTAAGCACCTGTTCCATGAACAAATTACACTTCCTTTGAACTTCTCTGTTGTCTTAGTTGCATAGTTTAGGTTTTAGTATTCACTTTATTTTTAGATATATATATTCCCCATCTGCAATGGTAATTAATATTTTGCTTCAAGAAGCTGAGAAAAATATCAGCACAGACTTTCTGAAGTATTGTGAGAACAGCCAAGGCTACTACTTCTGTTATCAAAACAGAAGAGCTCGTAAGCATATCTGATGTAGAAAATGTGAATGAACATTCAACATAGAATTACAGATATTTCTATGAAGTACATGAAGCCTCTGTGCTTCATATGGACTTCTCCTATCAGACAATGTAATCAATTGAGGGTTCATGAAAAGTGAACTTGCAGAAGCAATGTAGGTAGCTGAAGAATACGTGCTAGAATATCAAAGGCAGTGCTAGAAAAATCGAAGGATTTGTCCACATCTGTAGTACTGACAATCTCAGATCTAGCTTTGAAGTTGGCCCTTCTTCAAGCAGGTCATTTGGATCAGGTGACCTCCAATGGTCCTTCCAATCTAAATTATCCTGTGACACTGTAACAGCAACACCCACCTTGGAGGCTGAGAAGGAATCAAGTCCCGATTTTTGCAAGCACCAAAAAAACAAGTGCCAGGGTCAGCAAGAAGCGCATGTGGCCTATCCAGCTGAACAAGCCATCTAAACAAACAGCACCAACTGTGTAGTATAAATACAGACTGTTCAGTGAAAATATCAAAAAGGATTCAAAAGTAGAAAAATATCACTCCAATTTAACCTCCATCCACCAGTCCTGCTGAGGACTCATTTGTGGAATTTCTACTTTTGGGCTGTTAGTACAAATTGCTCTTAAAAGGAACCTCTTTTTCTCTGTGGATGCTACAGCACAGTGAGACTTCTCTGCTGAAGGTTAAGTCTTTTTGCACAGCCCCTATGGTGACAAGGAAGGGATAAATGATACACCCAAGTTTACCTGCTTCAAGCACAAGAGAGCCCCGGAGTTTCCATTCTGCTATCATAAAAAAAGGATTAAACAGCAGCTCTCTAAGTCTCCAGCTGGCTGGGCTGAGCAAGCCAAGAGCAGTCCCTTTAAAAATGGTGTTGGACTGTTTAATACACACAGTTTCTCTGCAAATCAGGGGCTCCTGGATGCTTTCTGACTACGCTCCTGGCTTCGCTTCTCTCCAGTTTTGGGACTCAGCTATTCAAACCCTAAACACAACATATATTTCCAGTTGCAATGAACCAAAACCTGCTTCAGCAGCTTGATAATTATGGCTTAGTTTAAACCAGCATTTAGGCCATTTTTAGCTTAAAGTGAAGATTAAGTGGTGGTGTCTATTATTTTAGGTTCATCTCCAGGGACATTGTTATTTCTAGCAAAACTACATTTAACCTAAGTTTTAGACTAAGAAGTTCATAGTTATTCTTGTTTTTAAACCTTTGTGGGTTTTGAAGGCAGGAAAAACATTAACATGAAACATATTTTGTTTGATGCATGCAGGAATAATTTAACAGTCTATTAGTAACTCTGACTTCAAAACAGAAAAGAGTGAAATTCTTGCTCTGCTGAAGTGAATGGGAGCTTTGCCATTGACTTCAATGGAACCTGGATTTCACTCCAAATATTTTACCCATGTTGCTTCTATACACAGAGAAAACTCTTCACTTGCTATGAAGAAAGTTCCAGCAGGACTCCTCCAATGCAAATAATCCCATCTAGAGTTCATATTCCTAAAAAGTTAGGAAAGGAAGAGCTAAGGACTGCATAGCAAGGCAGGTAGAGCTTGCTCTAAATCTGCCAGAGGGAACTCCTGTCTGTCAGAGAATCTAGCAAACTCGCAGGGCTGTAGCAATCCCATTCAGTTTTCTATGAGAATCCAACCCGCCTGCCATGTGCCAGCCACAGAGCTGAGACCCTGGAAGCCCCTTTGAGTCAAGGCATTTAGGCTACTGGCAGATATGGGGGCTCTTGTGCCTTGGCACTGGACAGGCTCAGGTGCTGACCCCTTCCTCAGTGGCCTCGCAGCCAGTATCTCAGAAACCTCATTTCCCACCAGATAAAAAAAGTGAAAATAGGACATCTTCTCGACTTTCCAATGTGTTTTTGGCTTCTTGATTTTTTTTCCCCACAAAACATTAGCATTTCACATAGAGTTCCCTAAATAAGAAGCATCTTAGCTTTCTAATTAGCTTTTTAAATTTACTCTTTGTTACACTTGTTGAAAGTGGGGGTTTTTTTGGTTGGCAAAAAATCAAGGCCAACAGTTACCAATTGGTACCTTCCTGTCCTTAGCTTTATTTTAAATGTGACCTCATGCAAGACATCTGTCTGGGAGAATCATTGAGGCTAAAATTCATCACTCAGCTTCGATTCTACAGGGGTGTTTGAGACAGATCAGAAGCTCTGTAGAGATTGAGATAAAACCCACATCTCAAGAGTTACTTACTTATTCACAGGTTATTTACTCATTTCTGAAATTCTTTCAACATTTCCATGTGTGGAAACATACAACTTTCCGAATAATTCCTGATTCGTGAACAGGAATCCTTTAAAAAGCTGTAAGTTTAGAGTAATTGTGCCTGAGCTATTTGCATGAAGTAGTAAAGAAGCCAGAAGAGCTCTGCCGATTTATATTAGCTTGGATCTGCCCTCAAGGCACCCAGGCAACCTCCGCCGGCCCTTCGGAGATGGGTTTCTAGCAGCACGAAGCTGGTAACACCTCTGGAGCTGCTTTAATTGGCAGTGCAGAACCCTTCCCATCTACTTTACCTTACAATGACTCGCTTGAGGAAAGGATTAAATGACCTGCAGGACTAAGGCATACCCAAGCATGCTAACAAATTCTTTGCTAAGTTCAAGGGTCTGCAGCCACATCAAAGAGAATGTTTTTTTTCCTAAACATGTAGTAAATGTAACGCCACGCTGGTTCTCTTTGCTAATGAGTAATCCCCCCTCTCTTCTTACTGGAAGTAAATCGGGCACAACATTATGTGTTTGCACTGAACAGCAGTGTAAGCACCAATTCAGTACTTAACATTTTCTTTGTAATCCTCCATTCTTACCCGCAATTCAGATTTCACATGGAATTAGAAGCAGTTAAGCAGTCCCTTGAAATACCCTGCCACGGGAAGGAGCTCTACTCTTACATGAGCAGGCCTTGGAATAACAGCTGGTAAGTATAGCTCTTAGATTAAAAGCTCTACCCTACCCTGCAGACCTGTGCAGCAGCAAACACGTGCTGCATGTCACCTGTGACACCGCAGAGCCACCACAGCTATTACAGAGGAGCACAACCTGATCTTGCCTTGTGCTGTTGGCACTGCAGTTACTAACTGCACCCTGGGCACAGGCTCCTCCTGAAGATGAGACTGCAACAGCAGGAAGAACCACCTGGGCTGTCAGATGGTCCTTTTACTCTCTGTTTATTCAGTGAGATTCAAACGCCAGCTTCTCTTCTAATACAGGGGTTATCAGGTAAGGACTCTGGGGTGGCACAGGACAGACTGCAGCAGTCTCCTTGTTGCTCCTCATACGAGAGGATAGAAACAAGCTCACTGACTGACCACAGCCACAGCAAGGCTCATCTCATCTGCAGTCACAGGGAGGCAACAACAACCAATCTCTGATGCTCTTCTTCATGGAACAACTCTTTCATGTAGCACTGCAATGAATAAAGAGCAGTATGCAATGTCTCAAAGCCCTGGCCTCTCTGGAGCCTGAGCTGCTTTCCAGGACACTGCTCTCAGCCAGAGCCTGCACAGTAACCGGACTGGACCAGGACGCCAGAACTGCACTCTGGGCCTCAGCCATCCAACTTCTTGGGGATACCCTTTTAAGCTACATGCAATTTACAGCTGTTTGCTTTCCCACAGCAGTACCAAATAAATGCACTTGCTTTGTTTGCTTCGCTCATTAGCGAAGCTTCTCCTCGAGACAGTTAATGTAACTAAACTGCTCTGTTTACCCTTGCTCCATTTTCCAGTGTTTCCTGTTATTCTTTCCAAGCTTGAGCCAAAGCCCACCAAAGCCCATGGAAAAGCCTCCTTCTGCCTTCAACGCGCAGCGCGTTGTACCTCCAAGTTAAGGTCATGTATACAAATATTCATCAGGACTGCTAGGACTCTCAATCAGTCTCCTATTGAAAGCCCCCGATCTGAATTTAAGGATAATGCCAAGGAAACTGATTTAAGAGATGCTTTGAATTTTTTCAACAGCTGCAGCTTTGCAGCCGGTAATGACCTACTCGAGAAATCCCCAGGACTGTCACCGCACACTCCCCACTGCAGGGGGGAGATTGTGAAGTGGGAGAAAAGAGAGAAGTTTGGTGAAAAACTTCATCAGGAGCAAGAGAAGGGCTCTTCATCAGGAAGAAAGAAGGTGGCAAGTGAAGAACTATGAGGAAGAGAAGCCTTGAAAAAAAACACCCGCAGAAGCGGAAATCACCATGAACTTTTACAATCCTTCTGTTTCAAATAGGCACTTCAGTTGGCTGCTAATAAGATCTTCTCCGCAGTCTCTCTGCAAGCCAAGCTTTTCCATTCGCCTGCACATAATTCAGGGTGAGCCTGATGCTGCTTCGCTGTAGACATGAGCAGCGGTCAGACTAGCAAGGCTGCCCAGCTCCAACCCTTAGCTGCTCATCCCACCACTCGCTGCGTGACACTAAATTGCTCCCAACACCATGGGCACTAACCTCAAAATTGCCATTTCTGCAAAAGACAACAAAGAAATGCAAACAAGACATGAGGACATATGTGTATCTCCTCTTTCACTTCTGCAGATAGAAAGCCAATGGCAGAGCCTTTGTGGTCCGTAAGGATCAAGTCACAAACTACTGCAACCATGCA